TAATACTTTACCAAACGATCTTTTAGGGGGTGACAGACTTTGATCACCTAGAATTCTCCTCGGCCTCCTTTGTTTTAGTTTATTTCCTCCGAAATCCGGAAGCTGGAGGAGGCAGAACTGGATCTGGCCGACTTGGACGATGCAGATTCGCCCTACCTGCGCTTAGATCGGCTGAAACGGCAGCACCTGCGTGTTTGGAATCAGCTCTGCCGGGTACGCAAAATTTCGCCTCAATGTGGTCGGGTTCTGCGTCGTCGGTTTGCCTACAACGGTAAGTTCTAAGTGCTTACCTAACCTGTTTCTGCTTAAAGAGCAAGTGGGCAAGCGCATGCCTCCACAGGATGGTTGAAGTACGGGTAGCAAAAAGTGGAATAGTTCTGTTAGAAAGTGTGCTCAACTTAGGATTGCTCTGTTAGGACCCGTGCCTGGCACTTGTAATTAGATCGAACTCTGAGCTAGTCCGACTGTTGCACCGAACGCCAGCACGAGAGAACGAGAGAAGTCAATCGGCCAGGAGGAGAAGTGTATTCACAAAAAGCACTACAGAGCAAGTCACTTCAAGCCAAGGCGTAGCGGCCGAGGACGTTGATGTTGGCACACACCTAAAGGAGTAATTCACCTGTATAAGTCCCCGGATATAATATAGGATGGGGTTGTTAGTCACCTCAAGCACACATACGCATAGGGAAGAAAAATAATGGGACAGTAACAAATAAGATCTGTTGGAATAACGGAATTGGTAAACAGTAAAAAGACGAAGGATGCGATACGAAGGGTTACCAAGGGACTGTACAATCGATCCATTTGGGATGAGAGGTGGTCACAGGATACGAGTTAGATACCGGTGAGGAGTGCAGCGCTGTGGGCAACTGCGGGTGAGTGCCGTGAGAGTGCTGCCGGTAAGGAGGCATCGGTACGGAGCAATACGATACGATACGGCCAAAGGGGGAGCAGTGCCAGCAAGGGGAATGGAAAGGAGCACTGGCATCTTCACCAACAGACGATCGCACCATCCACGTGAAAGTGACCTTGGCATATTCAAACACCCATAGTTCGAGATGGTTCGTTG